TTCCCTCCGCCGGGGCCGGGCAGCTGCCGGCAGCACGGACGCCCCGTCCCCGCCTGCCCGCTCCTGTTGAATAATAAATTCGGTGCTAGAATTAAGCAGGGCTGAAACTAGACCAGCCCAAACTCTGGCTCTTTGGTTTGTCAGATGTCATTATTTTAACACGCTTTCCAGTAATTAATTGGATTGGAGATAGTGCAGACTTGCGATAACGTATCCAAATTCATACTTGGCCGCAAGCTGATAAACCCAGTGAGCCGCAGTTTGAAGGCTCTGCCAACCACAACTTTGTCAAATACGGCATGTTAGTAAATACGGAGCTAATAAACACAATTATCGACTTGGCTATCAGTCCTTGAGCAGCGTTATCTCGAGAAAGCGGGAACGACAGTCCAGGACGAGAACAAGATTTTGCCAGCCAACATAAACACATCTACGCCTATTTCGCTCCAGGGCAGCGATTTTTTCTTCTGTCACCCGCACAGACTTTTTCACTTGACCTGATCTGTGTGTTTGGCATACGTGGGAAGCTACGCACACGTCCCCGGTGCTCCAGTTCTTTTCAAATCCATGTAACCCCTTTTCTACGCTTTCTCTTAGATTTTTGGGTCTGTAAATCAGCTTCACACATCTTTCTAAGAAATAATAATTCGCAATACTTCAGCAGTCATCTTCCTGACGCCTTAACACCCAAGTAAGTACTAAGCGCCCTCTTTAAAGTGCTGCCAACAGCTGGAACAACAGCGTGCTGCCTGGGTGCTGCCTGTCAACCCCATCCAACTGCTGCTGCGTTTCAACCTCCGCCTTGGCCCTGGCCACCGCTGGTCAGATGTGTCCTGACAATGAGGGTTTTTTAAAAATCAGACCGATATGAACATCATCTAGCTCAGGGCTTTCTTCCCCGGAGCCTGTGTGATGGCAGCTGTCACATCTGTCCAGGGCTCCTAAACTCACCTTGAGACTTGAAATCCAGAATTTTGGTCACGTGAGCCAGGAAGGAGAAAGAGGTTTTTACCTGGGTGAAAACAACAGCATGGCGTTAGCTCTCTCGGCCCAGCGACGCCAGCAGCAGGCTCCCCCGGTTAGCTGCCGCCCCTGACACTCG